TATCTTATTTTCCAAATGTCTCCTTCCAGTGAGTGAACAGTAACTTCCAATCCTTTCTGCATGGCCTGTGATAACCAGGGAGTTAACAAAGTGCAAAAACATAGCCACGTCTATCAAATTTCTAAACAGAACCTTCAATATTGTGATTTTTGGGGTCTCTGAAATGTTTAGTGCCTTTTATGGGAAGGAAGGACCCTCTTTTTTGGGGATAAGTTACCCAGAGATCTTACTTAGTGTAAATAATCCATCTGGTAGCATTCATTCCTTTTTTTTTTTCCCTGGAAATTAAACAACACAGTTTCAAGCTCCACAGATGCAAACTACTTGAAAAGAAGGGGGGAAAAAGCCAAACCAAATATAAATACTGGTAAAAAAGTTTTAACTTTATGTGACAGAACAAAACCAAGAGCCAATTTTGCATCAGTAGCCAGTTTTTTGGGGTTGGGAACTTATTTTTTTGTGTTTTTGCTTAACCAGATATTAACTTTTCTGCTGTAAAGCAATCCTGGAGCCAGATTCTCTTTCTCAATGTCTTCCTACCCAGCAATTGAGACTTCTTTGTGCAGAAYGCTGTTAAAAAGAATACAACACCAAGGCTGCACATCTGTTTCTCATTTCAAAACAAGTTCTTTTACTCCAAGCCTRTATTTTTTTCCCCTCTGCCATGAGATTTGGGGCTTTTTTAACTTCAGTAAACAGGCCAGAATGAAAAGATTGTTCACAGAACTGGTCACTGGGTATAATTTCCTCAGAAAGCTTTGGCAAGGCGTGAACTTGGTGCTGTTGTGCATCCACAGCTCGGTTTGTTCTGTTAAAATATGAAAAACCAGTCATGAAATGAGGAGTTGGGCCCAGGGTTGAGAGGTTTGCACGTGGCAGGAGAGGGTGGTGTGAAAATGTGACTTCTCCTGCCAGTGTTTGTAGCAGCCACGAAACTCAGAAGGAATTGGTGCTTTCCAACCTTCTCCTAAGCTCTGAAAATCCACCTGCAAATGTGGAAAAGATAAGAGTTCTTTCAGGAAACTTTCCTGCTTCAGCTTGCCAGGCTGGGTGCAAGAATTGTTTATTTCTGGGTCTTTTTTGTGTGCTTTTGCAGTTTTTTTCCACTTGAGAAAACTATTTGCTGCGTCGTGCTGTGACTGGATAGGGACAGGTTTATTCCCTGAGAAATTCAGGTGGGATTTTTAACATCTGTGGTCAGACAGTGACTGCTTTGAGATCAATAATAGTAAAAATTATTATTATTTTTGCTTTCAAATGTTTTCCTCCTGTGAAGGTGTTYCTCAGGAGGGTCACAGTAGGACCAAGGATGGTATTAGCAGCAAATGAAATTGTTCAGAAGTACAAAAGCAGATTCATGCCAGCYGTGAGCCTTTGGGCTCTGCTGGACATGATTAAATAGGAGAAARCTTCTTTTCCATGCAACAACAAATTGGTCACTTATTAAATCTGGAAACATTTTTCAGAATTATTTCGTGTCTATTTGTTGTCCAGACTGGCTTTTTTCCCATGTGATTATTCCCTGTGTGGTCTCCTGGCACAGGAGTCTGAGATGAACTTTATTTTGCCTCCTTTTTCCTTTCTGAGGTCTGAATGGACAAATCTGTGCCCTGTTCCATTGATCAGAGAAAAACTGCTCCTGAATTGGTGTAGGAAAGGTTAGATGTGGGCAGCTTGATGGAATTCCTCCCTTTTGTGGCACTGCAAAGTTTTAATCATCAAATTAGAACATCAAATCCCAATGTTCTCCTGTGTTAAAATGATTTCATTATGGTGTTTGTCTTCTTTAGTGGTGCCACCACTGCCCAGGCAGCAGATGTGGTGCTGCAGGTGATTCTCTGGCTCCCTGTATGATGTTTGTTGGGTCATGTGGCAGAAATTCTGGATTTCAAACAAATGAACAAATCCTTCTGCTCAGCACGCTGTTCCCATTATGAAAAGGAAATCATTATAATCAGCAAGTACCCTTTTTAATAACACAGCTTTTCAGGTTGCTGTGGTTGCTGCTGGAAGGAAAAATGTTCTTTATTGTTGTGCTTTAGRTTTTTGAGATACTGAAAACCTTGAAGACACTAAAAAGTGCCTGCAGCAGTCAGATTTGATACCCAAACCTGAATTTKCCATCATGGCACCGTGGAAAGTCARTGCCAYKCAGCAGAGGGGGAAWTAAATGTTTAAATCTTCCTTCCCACAGCAATAGATTTGGTCATGTTAATGTATTCTGCCAGTTGTACCCAACAAAAAAACCTGCAGCTCACAAGGTAAATATAGAATAATAAATATTTGTCCATGCAGTTGGTGGACCTGTGATTTTATTAATGTTTTATTGATGTTAACACCTGAAAAGGCACGAGCTGTGTATGGAAAGGCTGCACTCAACTCCCTGCTTTTCTCAGAATATTTGCATAGCCCAAGGTGGTTTATATTTCTTAACAAGCTTCACCTCTGGGAAGGGACCAGAATATCTCCCTGCATTTCTCTGAGGTGCTGTAATGATCTAAAACAAGGCTGGGGATGGTTTCAGGGAGCTCTGATCTGTTCCTGCATCACCAAAACTCTGCTGAGCTCTGGGTTGTGGTTCCCCAGATGACAGCAGCAGGAGGATCTGGATAACCCTGCCAGGGTGAGGAATCCCAGAGGAAGAGCAGAGCTTGGGGAATGTGTGCAGTGCTCCACAGAAAGCCTGAGGCAAGGGGCTGCTGTGCTTGGCTTGTTCCAGCAGGATTCTGAAACCCAGAATAGTCATTAATGTGTAAATAATCATTAATGTGTAAATCTGCAGTGCAATCCCACCCTATTCAGTGGATAATATTTGTCCAGTTCTCTGCATTGCATTGTGCACATTCACATTACTGCAGTTATCTCAGAAATAAAATAAAATTTAAAAAACACAAGAAAAATGTGAACAAATGCTCCCAATAGCTTTTAAAAAATATTTTTTCCTTTTTAAATTTATGATCATGATTGTCACTCATTGTACAAATACACCCAACCCCATATATGGCAAAATAAATCTTTAAAGTGTGAAGAACAATTTCCGTAGATTCAGCAAGAGGACATGAAGGGCTGGATTTGTTTATTTTAGAAGCAGAGAAGGTGGTCAGGAAGGTGCCAAATGTCTGACAATCACCTACATCTTTCTTCCTTTTCATAGCTGTGTTTCAGTTGTTTCTGTTTGTGATTTTTTGAAACCTAAGTATGCATTTGATAGTTTTGCATGAATGTCTGAGTAAGGATCCCAGTCTATTTTTATCAGTAAGCTTAGAATTCTGTCAGCTAAATATAAATATGTTTTTTAATGAGCTTGAATTCCTGTAGGACTTGGTGAGAAAGCTCACTGGGTGTGTTTTGCTGAAGAATGTTGTTGGGCTGTGCAAATTCCCACAGTTTTATCAGTGCAGAGGGTATTTGAGTCCACTAAGAATTGTTAAATTAGGAAAAAGCTTGTTGAAAGTAAGTTGTAATTTGATTAATTCTAGTGGGAGTATTTCCACTCTTCTGAAAATCCTCCTTCTTCTGGCTCCAGGTTTATCTTGGTTTATCTCTGTCTCCAGGTTTATCTCTMTCTCTAGTCTCATACATTCTGCTCCTTTGGACTGAAATATTGTGAGGCTTTAAGGTCCCAAGAAAAGTTCCATTCCATCCTAGAAATATTTCCATTTTTCTGGAAATTTTTCCTCCCCTGGCTCCAGGCTGATCCTGATGATTCTTCCCCCCTCTCTATCTCCAGTGTCATACATTCTGTTCCCTTGGATTGAAATATTGTGGGGCTTTGAGCTCCCAGGAAGATTTCTGTTTGAAGATTTCTGTTCCATCCCAGAAGTATTTCCATTTTTCTAGAAGTCTTTTCTCTTCTGTCTCCAGGCTGATCCTGGTGATCCTTCCCCCTCTCTATCTCCAGTGTCATACATTCTGTTCCCTTGGATTGAAATATTGTGGGGCTTTGATGTCTCAGGAAAATTTCTATTCCATCCGAGGAATATTTCCATTTTTCTGGGAATCTTGGCTCTGTTGGCTCCAGACAGATCCTGGTGATCCTTCCCCCCTCTCCATCTCCAGTGTCTGATGATGAATGTCTCAGATACATTCTGCTCCTTTGGATTTAAGTATTATGGGGTTTTTAGCTCCCTGCACCCATCCTGCTCTGCTACACCAAGTCCTACAGGAAAAGTTCTTTGGAATGCAGCGAGCTCAGCTCCTTTATCTGGAGAAAAGAGGATTAAATGATCAGAGCTTGGACCAAAAATATGGAAACAATGGATACTGGGATTGCTCAGGCATTGGTTCCTTCCATTTTCTAACCACCTGCTGTCACCAAGCATTTCTGTTTGATATTTATTGTCTCTTCCCTCAACCTTCACTGCACTGGGCTGAAATCAGCCTGCCAAATCCTTATCTAAAACTGCCTGAAATAAATCCTTCATGGTCAGGGGCTGAGAGGAGCAGAAGCTAAAACCTCCCTGTTCTTGTAGGAACGGGTAAGATTGTCCAAATAAAAGATAAAACTGGGAAAATTAGAGCTGGAAAATAAAGAGTGTTTTAAGATCCAACAGTCACAGAACCGTGGGGCTTTGGAGGGCAGGAGGATGTTGGCCTTGGACACCTACTCGGGGAATTTTTCAGGCTGTCCCAGCATGGTTCTTYCCCTTCCCTGATACCCTGGAACAGGCTTTTACTGTGTTTTGTGCAGCTCAAACACTCCTTTCATGGCTCTGCAGCGAAGTTTTCCTTCTTGCCATATTATCTCTCTTCTTATAAGCTTAAAAATGTATTTAAACCAGGRAATCTTAAACCCCCCTTCTCTTCCCTCTTGCTTCCACTTTTTTTTCACTTTAGGGAAAATGATTGTTGTGTTCTTTGTAATTTTTACCTCTTTGCAATATTCAGTGATTTTCTGAGTGTTCRGAAAGGTTGTGCCTTTATTTTGTGAGCCAAATACGATGCTGAACCGTATTTTGGGCATTCTGTTTGAAACATTTCCCTGTTTGTTTGTTTGGCAGGTCCTTGACCAGTATGAACGAGAAGGGTTTAATTTCCTCGCTAAAGTTTTTAATTCTTCCCATTCCTTCTTGGAAGACTTGACAGGTCTAACTTTATTACACCAGGAGACACAGGCAGCTGAGGTAAGCAAATGCAATTTGGATGTTGGGAATTAAACACAAGATCAAATGAATCACTGATAGAATYGAGCTGTGGCATTGAATTTACAGAGTGATTGACACAATGGTGTAGACATTCARTTGTAACTGAAATTAAATTAATTGTGACTTTCTGCATCTGGGTTTTTAAGTGTTGATTTTAAAGGAAACAAGTGACCTGTGTGGTGTAAGGAAATCAATTGCCATTTTAGGTCAATTAAAATGTAATTTTGCTGCTTGATGGATTATAATATGGGGGAAACAATGCTGTTTATTGACCCAATGACAAAACATGGGACGTGGGAGGAAATTGGGGTGTGTTTGATCTCATGGRCAGCGCTGTTACAACTCAATATTGAGCTGTGATGATGAATGTTCCCTAAAAAATGAAGCAGGTRAGTGCCCTGAGATTGTATTTTAATCATGATTTGTATTCCTTCCCCCTCTGCCAATATCTGTACCCTTCTGGATGATAAATCAATTTTGGCATTGCTGTGTCTCAGGGATGTTCCTGAAGCTGCCTCTGGGATTATTCAGTCACTGCAGCCTGTGCAAGTGCTGGAGCTGTTTTTTCAGCTGGAAAGGGCTCCACGGTGCTGCTTAATAAGGTTTTGGGGGATAATGATGACTTGGCTCTTTGTTTCATGTTCTAACCTTTTCAAATAATGGAAGAAGATGCTGGAAATGTGAACTGTAAAATATCCAGTGCATTCTGAAATCAGCCTGGTTGTACCCAGAAAAAACTAAATATATTTATGAGAGGGATGCAAGAAAGGAAAACAAGAATCCTTCACCACGTGCCACTCATTAACAGCAAGGATAATTACAGTTATAATTACAGTCTGATTGCCCCTGACTTTTAGGCTGCTAAGAAGCATCCAAAATGTAAAAACAATTACAATTAGTAATGTATTATTTTGCAGATATTGATCAACAAATCCCTTTTGCAGTGTAAAACAGGTACAGGTGTTTTTCCAGACCTGTGTACAGGTGTTAGTTCATTAAGTTTTAGATAGTCTCTACCAAATGTAGAGTGTGGTGTGAGTTTATTGCATAATTATAATATTTATGAAGTTCAAAGTTCAACTTAAACCTCAGAATTGGTGTCCTTTCAAAAATCCTGGAGTTCTCCAGTGAGGTTTCTGCAGTGAAATCACTGCTCAGAGGTGGAAAAATTGATATGCAAAGTATTTGCAGAGCGARTGTTTTCAAATTAGGGAAACTGCTATAAACTCAGTGAGCTTTCTGCATTCTGCCCTGTGGTATTGCTTTATTTTGGGGGAATTTCATCTCTTTGAGCAGGATTAACTGGTTTAATATCTTTGTTGAATTGTGTTTGTGAATGGCAAGTTCAAAATTCAATTTAAACCCCAGAATTAGTGTCCTTTCAAAAATCCTGGAGTTTTTCAGTGAGGTTTCTGCAGTGAAATCACTGCTCAGAGTTGGAAAAACTGCAATAAAAGTATTTGTAGAGTGAATGTTTTCAGATTGGGTTAACTGCCTTAAACCCAGGGAGCTTTCTGCATTCTGCCCCATGGTATTGCTGTATTTTGGGGGGATTTTTTCTCTTTGAGCAGGATTAACTGGTTTAATATCCTTGATGAATTGTGTTTGTGAATGGCAAGTTCAAAAWTCAACTTAAACCCCAGAATTGGTGTCCTTTCAAAAATCCTGAGGTTTCTGCAGTGAAATCACTGCTCAGAGGTGGAAAAATTGATATGCAAAGTATTTGCAGAGAGAATGTTTCCAAATTAGGGAAACTGCCATAAACCCAGGGAGCTTTCTGCATTCTGCCCCATGGTATTGCTGTATTTTGGGGGAATTTCATCTCTTTGAGCAGGATTAACTGGTTTAATATCCTTGATGAATTGTGTTTGTGAATGGCAAGGGCTGACAGGCAGATTATTTGTAGATTCTGGAGCGCTCTTGCTTGCTTTGGATTAAAAAACTCTTCTTTGTTCCTTTTTGCCACTGTTGGCACTGAAAAACAAAGAGGTTGTTTTGTGGTCCTCCACAAGTCTCAGGTCATCATCTGGGGTGATTTTTAAAAATTGTAGGTGCACAAGAGAGTGCTTTTAATAAATTTTCTATGGAATTATATCTTGAGCTCCTTTTCTCTTGTATTCCAAGCTCCTTTTTCTCACGCTGCACTGGGGAGTGTGAGGTCTGCAAAATGATTTTTCAGGTTTCTGGCTGCTCTGGAGCTGCTCTTGGCAGGATGAATTGCCTCAAATGGAGCCATTAGCTTGGCTCAGCTTGGTGCTCTTTGATTTGAGATATTCTGGTTACGTTCTAAAGCCTGCAGCGWGAGCTTTCATAAGGTGTGGATGGGCTGTTCTGTGACAGGAATATTTCATTTTTCTGTTGAGAAGTTTTGTGCCTTTCTCCACTCCAGCTCTTCAGAGAGATTTTGTGGATTATTGGTGCRTTTGGAGACCATAAAAATGGCTCTGGTAACTGCAGATTTTCCTTTCCTCCTGTCTGTTAAAATTTCTCCAGGGCTATTCCAGAACTATAAAGAAAATAGACTTGTAAAGTCAGATGTCATCCAACCTCATATTTACCCAGTAATATCATCATGGGGCTGTAATTCCATCTATAAAATCCCTGATGTTTGACTAATAAACCTGCATCTGATAGGGAAACTACTCACTCTTGTGCTTTTTCTTRAAAGGTTCACTTCTAAAATTGGTTAAGAACATTTAATTGAACTTTTGGCTACGAGAGTTTTGTTGTGGTCAGGAAAACTGCCATGCTGCTCTTAAATAAAATCACACTCTGAACTTTTTTAATGATTATTTTTGAATTTTAATTCACCTAAGTGCTTAGCTGCTTTCATGATGTGTGTGTAAGACTGCCTTAATGAGAAATTGCTGCTAAGTTTGGAGTTTCCCTGAAAGGGAATCTGGATAAGCCATGCATTTTCTGTGTGAGTGGCTGTTAAATACAAGATTTTTGGAATTGAATGAAGATTTTGGAATTAATTGCCATGAAAACTCCCTCCCCCATTATTAATACAGAGTGTGTTTGCCTGGTTTGAGGAATACAATTTGCAGTCAGATATGGGAGACTTTGCACTTCCTGAAAACCGTTTTTTTTTGCTTGCACTGTTTAATTCCTGTTCCAGGGCTGTTGCACTGTTTAATTCCTGTTCCAAAATATTACAACATAGATTTAGTGTGGTTTAAATTTGATGCTAATTGCAGGGGTTTTCGTCAATAAACACCTTTTTCTTTAACCTGAGCTGCATCAAGAAATGAAAAACTAAATCTGACTTCTTCAACGTGACAATTAATAAATAGCAATATCAGCAAGCATTTCTATGCTGTCTTGAAATGACAGCAAATCTCAGGCATCAGCTCTTTCTCCATCTGGCTTCAATCGGGGGGCTGTGGAACATTTTGGGGTTTTTTGGGATCCCAGGGCGATATTTCTGCGCAGGAGCCTGGGATGACACGCCTGGCTCTCCAGGCCAATGGAAGCTGTGGGAAACTCCCCTGTCAGCACTCAGGCCGTGTTTCCACTGGATCCAGTTCATCTGGAAGCTGCCCAGGCTGGTGGAAGAGCTGAATTTCTGCTTTGCAGATCGCTTGGGTTCCTTGCTGCCAACCCAAAGGGCTCAGCTCGCCCCTGGCTGGCTGTGCAGTCGGGTTTGAGGGCTGGGACAAAGCACAGACAGCCTGAGCATCCTCAGATTGTTCATCAGGGGCTGGGATGGGAATTGGGGGAATTGGAGGCAGAACAAATGGGGCATTTCCAGGTCAGGACCTGGCTGGGCTGCCCAGGGCTGCTCCATCCCAAAGGCGGCTGCTTTGGTGCTCCCCATGTGCTCCACATGAACCCTGCAAAGGCTGCTGGCTGTGCTGCCCTGGAGATGCTTTTCCATCTGCAATCTCTAATYCAATCCCCTGAAATTTTACTGATTTTTACTGAAATTACTGAAATTTTCCCAACTTTCCTGAGATGCATACATTTCTCTCTGCAGTTCATAAAACACGAGTACAACCACAATTATCTTAATTTGGATTTCAGTTCCTAAATGACTTGAATGCTTTACTGCCCTTCCTGCTTTCAGCAGGGTGAAAGAAAATCACAAACACACTCAAGAAATAAGATTTTTCACTTGGTTTTGTGATCAATTGAAACACAAGGCAGAGTAGAAGTTTTGCAATCTAAGATGGCCATAAAGGGCTTTGGAAAAAAACCAAATCTGGAGCAGAGTTGCTATTTTGTGAATGTGATTGTAAAGGTCAGATATTGGTGCCAGCAGGTCATGATGGCTGTGTTATTTGACTTCAGTAATATTTAGTTCAAGGTTTTCCCATCTGTAATCTCTAATTCAATCTAAAGTTTTTTCCCCTGAAATTTTACTGATTTTTACTGAAATTACCGGAATTTCCCAGCTTTCCTGAGATGCACACATTTCTCTCTGCAGTTCATAAAACATGAGTGCAAACACAATTTTCGTACTTTGGATTTCAGTTCCCACATGACTTGGGTACTTTACTTCCCTTCCTGCTTTCAGCAGGATGAAAGAAAATCACAAAACACAGGTGAGAAATGAGATTTTTCACTTGGTTTTGTGATCATTAAAACACAAGGCAGAATAGAAGTTTTGCAATCTAAGATGGCCATAAAGGGCTTTGGAAAAAAACCAAATCTGGAGCAGAGTTGCTGTTCTGTGAATGTGACTGTAAAGGTCAGATATTGGTGCCAGCAGGTCATGATGGCTGTGTTATTTGACTTCAGTAATATTTCGCTCAAGGCTTTGTATCTTATCAAAAATGTGGAATTTGTAGTTTCKGTGACAAGTTCTTGTGGTCACTGTTTGGTATTTCCAAAATCCYTTTTCTGTGCTGCTTTCATGTATCCCAAACAATCCTTCTTAATAATGAAAAAAAAAAAAAGGATTCATGTTAATAAAATACTTAGAGTAAAAAAAAAGAAAACCCAATTTTATCCTGTTTCTGCTTTTATTTGAGGTT